CACCTGCAGTGCAGCCCCAACTGGATAATTATAATAATGATGAATTTTTTATCTAATAATTTAAATAAAATAACTTATATTTATTGTTGGGGCTGCAAGGTGGCTCCTCCCCGTGCAGTGTGGGTTCTCTCTGGGTTCTCCTGTGATAGACTGGTTACCTGTCCAGGTGAACCTGCCTTCACCCTGACGTATGATTACAATGCAATCTATTTGGATTAATTAGATAATAATCACTGAAGCATTTTTTCTGCACTGAATTCTTCTGGAGTATTTTTTGTTGTATTTTCAGAACTTTTATTAATTACCAAACTGATTTAACATTATATCAAATTTTAAAGTGAATATTCAAAACTAACAACTTACAAACACACACACACATATATATATGTGTATATGTACACTCCAGGTTTACCAGATGCTATTAGCATAAAATAAAATGAGACCGTGATCTACATAGAAATTAAAAACGTATCCAGGCTTTTATTTTGAAGTCAGGGGACTTCAACGAGAAGTCGTGAGTTGTAATCTGTGATCACGTGACCAAATCTAAACCGAGTTTAAACTGCGCAGGCGCACCCCACCGCGCCGCGAGGTGACACAAACCGAGCGCTCCTCCGCGTCATCACAACTTTATTCTGAAGGGATGAGCAGTTCGACCTTCACCGGAACTGCCCGACGGGAGCCGAACACTCCTCAGCCAACGGGAGCGAAGACGTGACGGTGATCCCTGATTGGCTGGATGGAGTTCCGTCTCATCGTCCAGACAGTTAAAAACAAGAGGTGACTTTTAAAACCAGTTCAAAGGCGTAAAGACGACATGATGGTTATACTGGTGTTTATTTAAACACACTCAGGGTCACACAGGGATCACATGACGGGCAGCAAAGTCATGGTGATTATTCAACTAATAAAAAAGATGAACATTTCTAATAATATGAAGGCTGTAGTGACTGATTCTGGTGATTGATTGATTGATTGATTGATTGATTGATTGATGGAACTGGACAGCAGCAGAACAGGAGGAAGCAGCTGCTGTTCATCAGTGAACTCATTCAGACCTGCAGAATGAAGCTTTATAAAGTTTACTGCTACGCTACAGATTCTCAGTGTTTTGTTGAAATTCAGATAAATCTCAGAAACAAAAGTGCTGATTTCAGCTGCAGACAAACAGGCCACAGCTGTGATTATATTATTATTATTATCATATTATTTGACGGATGTTTGAGATGTTTTCCGTTTCTCACCCTCGCTGATATCTGTCAGCATGTAGAACCAACGACTGAACCCAACAGAACGCTGGACTCTGAACACCTCCACTGAGACGACGGTGGCGAGTGCAGGTTAGGAAAAAGAACATCTTTACTGATGTCACAGAGGAGGAAGCAGCTTCTGGTCAGAACCACAAACACACGGCCTGGTTCTGCTCAGTGAGACCATCAGACGTGTTCTGTGTAAAGAATCAGTGACTGTGGTGAACCTGCAGGTTAAAGCTTTACTGGATGAATCCGTTTGTTCCGTCTGAGGACGAGCTGAAGGACAAACGGAGCAGCAGAACCACGAGCCAGAACTCTGGTCCAGATTCTAACATCGGACCAGCTGTGGATGGACGTCCAGTGAGATTATTTATTAATTTAAATGAAAGAATGAAGCTTCGTCCTCCAGATCACGGCCTGAAAACAAGCCGTGAGCGTCGCTGTGGGTTCTGTTCTGGACGTGCTGATCATGTGTTTGGTGGACGAGTCACATTTAACTCTCATTTAATATTTGTTCATTTAAATCACAGCAAAGATCAGCGACTGACCAACACGACGTACGATCCGAACAGAAGGAGAACCGGCCGCAGCACAGCAACAGACAGAACCCAAAGACACCCATCCTGATCCACATCGCCCACGTCTACCAGACACGCTAGAGTCCAAACCGCTGTCCGCGTATTAACCAGCATCAGAACCTGTAACTGCAGCGTAAAACCCGACAGTGAGTGAAGGCTTAGACAGAATAAAACAGAACCAGAACCAACCTCCGTGTCTGAAGCCTCCTCGTGGAGGTTTCTGTAAACCAGAAGAGCTTAAAGTTGAAAATGTGTTGTTCAGAACTGTTGCAGCAAACTTCAGCTCCACTTTTTAAACTTGGTTCTACTTTAGTTCTGGACCACATATATGAAAAACCCCAAAACCCAGAAGTGGCTCCACCTGCTGTTACTCCGTCTCCAACCATCAGCGTCCTTCTGCTCAAACATCTGTTATCTGAAACCTTTCAGTGATCTCTAATAGCAACGCACAGATCAAGTTAAAACATCAAACATCTTCATAAACATCCGTATTTTATGTTAGAACGTTTTCAGAGCACAACTTGTTCTCACATCCTGATGATCTTTTGTTCAGTCTCAGAGCTGCAGATGAAACTGAAGCTCTGCATCAGTGAGATGTTTCTACAGATTAAATCTGGTCCTGAGCAGCTCTGATGGTCTCTGACGGCCTCCAGCCGGATGCTGGACTCTGGATGTTCCCGTCTCAGACCGCCGTTACCTCCTCTGGCTCAGCTGCCGGTACAGCTGGATGGTCATCAGCTGGACTTCAGGGTCTCCAGGCTGGATGTCAATGGCTTTGAGGAAGAAGCCGAGAGCTTCGTCCAGCTGAGCTCTGCTGAAACATTCCTTCCCTCGGCTCACCAGAGAGTCGTAGCTGTCAGCGTCGGCGACGTCCTTCGTCCCGTTGGTCTCCACGGTGCAGCGGTCCATCCTCTCAGAGGAAGCCAGCTCAGGCTCCTCGCTCGATTCCTCCAGGCTCAGGCTCATCGCTGCAGACCGATACTGGTCCTCCACATCCTCCTCCTCCTCTTCATCCTCCTCCTCCCCCTCATCATCCTCCTCTTCATCCTCCTCCTCCCCCTCATCATCCTCCTCCTCTTCATCCTCTGACTTCAGAGTCTCCCCTTCGGTCTCCTCCAGCCGAAGCTCGTCACCACTGGAACCAGCGATGTCCTCGTCGGCTTCATCAGAACGTTCTGGAATCAGATCAGTGATGAGATGTTTTAGTCAGATTCAGAAACATCAGTGAAACAATCTTCTTCAAACCTCAGGCTCGTCTCTGAGTCACTCCACATAAAATCAACCACATTTATCAAAACCTTCCCCCAGAACCTCCTCAGAACATCTGGTTCTGATTCTGCAGCACCTTCATCTACTGACCAGAGTTCTACCTTCAGACTGTGAATGTTCCAGAGGTCCAGGTCCTTCAAGTCCACAGAGGAGGGTCCAGATTCATCACTTTAATGGACTTTTGAATATTATTATTACTATATACTATTTTTTTTATTTTTTTTTTTTGAAGAGTGGATCCTGTCTACAGATGGTTCTGGTAGGTTCTGGAGGTAAACGGTCCTTCCATCATCTAGAACTGGTTCTGACCAACCACCATCACACATGCTGATATGAGCCTGGAAAGTTTACCCAGAATGCACTTTGTAAAGTTTCCTCTGGTGAACGATCAGAACCAGAACCAGAACCACATCCAGGGTACCACTGATGGTTTCTATGTGTCATAGACAGTAAACTGTTCACACTGTGAGACATCCCATAATATATGTGTTAAAAAAGGCTTTCCAGGCTCATGTCAGCGTGTGTGATGGTGGTTGGTCAGAACCAGTTCTAGATGATGGAAGGACCGTTTACCTCCAGAACCTACCAGAACCATCTGTAGACAGGATTCAGTCTGGATGAATCATCTTCTAACAAAGTCCTACAGGGTTCTCACCACAGGTCTGTCACAGCGTAGTGTTAGCGGCTATCAATTAATTGATTAAGAAAATGATTCTAAATTGGCGTCCTGCCACAAACTGCTCTTACTTTACGACACCTGAGTGACATCAGATGTAAACAAAGGCTCAGGCTGACGTCTGACCTGATATAATCGGTTTCTACAAATTCCTTGATTGTCCCCAATTACGATTTCTGAGATCGGATCAGAACATCTCTGCTTGTAACCTGGGAACCTGTGTGGTGACTTGGTGCCATACAATGAGCTGCACTGAGCTACAACATTACCATCATCATCATCATCATCATCATCGGCTTCATCCTCCTCCTGGTTGTCCACGTCTTCGATGATGGACTGTAGCAGCGACCGACGTGACGCCACAGAGGTGTTTCCTCCGACGCTCCTTCTGGACCTCAGAGGGGTAAGACCAGACTTCGGGGTGGAACCAGATTTCGGTGTTGAAGCGCCGAGCGCCTGGAAAGAGTTCTCGAGCTGGCTCTTCATCAGCTGCTGCCCTTCATCATCGTCTTCTTCCTCGCTGTCATAAATCACTGCTGCTCTCTTCTTCCTGGTCGTCATGATTGACTCATCCACCGACTCGTCCACGCTGGCGGTGTGGCTGATGTTCACGCTCTGCCTGGAAGCTTCTCTCTGCTGCCGCTCACACAGAGATTTATTGACGTCGAAGCTTCCCTCCATCTGCAGCTGAGACAGCAGCCGCCGCTGTTGGGCTTCGGTGTCCGGGTCATCGTGATCCGGGTCATCGTGATCCGAGAACATGTCGCTGTCGTCCAGCTGTAACTGGAAGTTCCCGTTTAGGGACTCGAGGCCGGTGCTGACTCTGGATGATGCGTCTCCTTTGAAGCTGGAGTTGGAAGCTTGCAGGATAGAAAGTCTTTTGTTTTGCAGCGGTGAGACATGATGATGACCGAAGTCCATCTCAGAGTCGGAGTTTGAGGGTGAAGCTCCGTTTAGCTGCTGTTTATCTTCATCATCAGCATGCAGGAAGCTGCCGCCACCTGCTGCCTCAGACATCACAGATTTCTCCATCAGGTCTCCAACAGAAGCTTCTGGATCTTCAGCTGCTGCAGCTTCAGTGGACGGCACCTCCATCACCTCCTCTGCTGCCTCCAGGTGACTCCTCTCCTGTTTGACTGGAGGCTGAACTTCCTCCTGGCTGACATCTACAACTTCTGCTGCACTTTCATCTGCAGTCAGATCAATGACTCGGTCACTCAGGTTCTGTTGGCTGTCTTGGTCCAAATCCACCACAACCGCTGACCCGTTCAACTTGTGGTCCTGCTGTGGATATGCAGGACTCTTTTTTGGACTTCTTGGTTTGCGCTCATGTGACCCTCTGCTGTCCCCTGGTTGTCTGAGCCAGGCTGGTTCTGTGCTCGACGCCATGCTTTCTGCCAGCTGCATCTGCAGCTCCGACTCGGCCTTCATCAGCTCCTGGGCCTTCTGGACCCGCCCCTCGATGTAGTGGTGCTCCTCTTGGTTCTCGGGCGCCTCATCGTGGTGGACGTCGAGGGAGAACATGAGGTCGTGGTCAGAGATGCCAAACATCTCCATGGCATGGAGGTGGGCGATGTGCTCGTCCAGCTCGCGGTCGGTCCGCCGGTGTCGGGAATGAAGCGCCTGAAGCTGCAGCTGCGTGGACGACGACCGGGTCTCTTCCAGTGTGAAGAGCTCCTTCAGCTCCTGTTTGCTGAAGTACCGAAACGGGTTCTTCTTGTCGCCGGTGTTCTGCCTGATGAGGGAGTCTTTGAAAACCTGCCGCCGGTAGATCTTCTCCTCCACAGTACCGCAGGTGATGAGCCGGTAGATGACGACGTTTTCAGTCTGTCCGATGCGGTACGCCCGGTCCACCGCCTGGGCGTCCGTCGCCGGGTTCCAGCTGGGATCGTATATGACCACCCTGTTGGCTGCCGTCAGCGTTATGCCGACTCCACCGACCTGCGTGGTCAGGAGGAAGACGGAGTAACTGTCGTCTTTCTGGAACAAAGAGATGCGGCGCTCTCTCTCTGCGATCTGCGTTATCGTACCGTCCAGCCTCAGCACTTTGAAGCCTCTGTTTCCGAGGATACGTTCGATGATGTCGAGCACCTTCCTGTAGTGAGCGAAGATGAGCGTGCGATGACCTTCTTCTCTAAGCCTTTCAAGAAGTGTGAACAGAAAGACGAGCTTCCCAGACTCTGATATTAAGGTGTCGTCGGGGACGTTGGCGATGCTGTGGGCGTCGGTGTCGGCGTCGTCGCCCTGCTGGCTCTCAGCTCCATTTTCCTCCAAACCTAACTTGGCGACGGCTGCAGCGGAGAGCAGCCTCGGATGGTCGCACAGCTTCTTCATCATGGTCAGCTCAGCCAGAGGAGATCTGGTGGTGAGCAGCAGCTCCTTGATGTGGTCCAGGGAGATGAACTGTCTGTAGATGTCCTCCTGAACAGAACTCAGGTACGTCCACACGATCAGGTCGTTCTTCCTCGTCAGTTTGGGCATCACGGCTCCAGAGTCCACCTGAACATTTGGGACTTCGCTGTTGTCCGAGTGTTGCTCTTTGCAAGAATTTGTTCTGTTTGTTTTGTTTTTCTGCACTTCTGATTTGGTCCTGCGGAGGAAGTAGGGTTTAATTATGGCCATGAGGGTCTCAGACATCCGCATCCCAAGGACCTTTTCTCCTGGAGTGGCATCCTTCTCCCTGGCCCGGGTGATGGGGTTCTCATACTCTGTTTTGAAGGTTTTAGCGGTGCCGAGGAGAGTTCCCTGGCAGGCGAAGTCAAAGAGAGCCCACATTTCTCTCAGGTTATTCTGGACCGGAGTTCCTGTGAGCAGAACTCTGTTTTTGGACGGGATGGCGTAGACACTCTTGGCTGTTTTGGTGCCACTGTTTTTAATCTTGTGGGCCTCGTCCAGGATCATGTAGTCCCAGGTGAACTCTCTGCCGTGGTACGACGACACCTGCTGCCAGTTGTTCATGAGCATCGTGTAGGTGGTGATGAGGACGCCGCTCCTCCTCTGGACCTTCTCCAAGTTCCTGGTTCTCTCCCCTTTGCTGACGCCGTGAAACTCCTTGACCCTCATGCCAGGAGTCCATTTGGCAAACTCCTTGGTCCAGTTTGTGATGAGGGACGTCGGCATGACCAGCAGCGTGTGTTTAGCCAGCTCGTTGTCGTACATCCCAGAGAGGAACGATATCACCTGGATGGTTTTTCCGAGGCCCATGTCGTCAGCCAGGATGCCGCCTTTTCGTCCGTCTCTGTGGAGGCTGTACAGGAAGGCCACGCCCTCCCGCTGGTAGTCGTACAGTTTGTCGTGCAGCTCTTTAAAAAGCATCAAACCGCTGCTGTTTACGTCGACAAACTCTTCGTCCTCTTCCTCAGAGTCATTTTGAGCAATCAGCTCCTCGATCTTCTTGATCCTGTTTTCCAGTTTCTGACTCTGGTGGATGTTGTACGCCAGTCTGAAGAACTCCAGCGCTTTGTGCATGTCGCCTTGTCTGGCCACATCTTTACCGTCCTGAATGAGTCTGAAGGAAAGGAAGCAGAGAGGACAAGACGTCAGCGCGACGCTCAAACGACAGCTGCAGGTAAGTTCCCTGAGTTCCTAATCAATCCATTAAGACAGAACAGAATCCCCTCAGCAGACTGGTGGGTTTATCGAGGCCCAGTGTTCACATGTGAGAAGCTGGACGAGCTGCACGTTGGCTCAGCGTCTGTCAACACAAATCAGGCAATACGTTGCTGAACGCTCTCAGATTCACTCTGGCAGCTTAAGAACACATTATTGAAATGTGACCTATTTTTAAATTTCATGAATTTTGTCCATTTTCATGCCCTGATCTGACCACGTGGGTGTTTCACCGTCATGTGTCCTTACAGATCTGAAGATGATCCGACCAAATAGGGTTGTGTTGCTGAGCCTCCTTTAGGTTTTTTTTGTTTTTGTTTTTAAATGAAGTTATCGTCATGAGTTCTTTTGAATTCAACCAAAACCCAAATATTACGATACACGGTTCCACAACTGCCTCATAGTGCCGTTTCAGCATCTGGACAACCTTCCAACTCACAATGAAAACAAACAACAATTATTACATTATTATTATTGTTATTTTCACATATTCTGAAGGTGATTTTACTGCTTTGGAGCGACATTGAAGCCTGCTCACCACGTCAGAGACAAATCATCAACACATTCATTAACACAAGCCCTCATTAGGCCCCAGTATAGATATCCTTTTACATATATCACATATATAAAGTAAAGCAGTGGGCTCCGTGGTGGATGCCTGAGTGATCATGATGATCCTAAATCAGTTCGCTGTTATACCAGCAAGGAATGACCCAACATTCCTAACGAGTCTGGATGAATCACAGGTCACATATTTTAGACGCAAACACACGAGAACCAACATGTTCAGTGAACTTTTAAGAACAGTTTGAAGAATTCATGACTGAAACTTCTGAATTTCATCTGATCTGATGTTAACTCTGATTTCTTCAAAAGCTTTCATAGAAAACCATCATAATATTCAACCTACAGACAATCAGTGTTTTCAGTTTATAATGAACCTTCTGTGCAGTATTTTGTCCAACTGTATGTGCAGCACTAATACCTTCAGTGTACACCGGATATACTCCTGAAGGAGGCTCAGCAACAGAACCGTATCTGGGTCGGATCATCTTCAGATCTACAGGAACACACGGTGAAATATGACAGTGATGGTGAAACACCCACATGGTCAGATCAGGGCATGAAAATGGGCAAAATCCATCCATCATCTCTACACCTTCATCCTCACCAGGGTCATGGGGGGCGGAGCCTATCCCAGCTGACTCAGGGTGAAGGGAGGTTCACCTGGACAGGTAACCAGTCTATCACAGGGCTACACTTAGAGACAGACAACCAAGCACACTCACATTCACACCTACGGACAATTTACAATCACCAATTAACCTCAGCATGTTTCTGGACTGTGGGAGGAAGCCGGAGAACCCGGAGAGAACCCACGCTGCACGGGGAGAACATGGAGACTCCACGCAGGAAGATCCCGGGTGTCCTCACCGGGACGCCAACCGGCAACCTTCTAGCTGCGAGGCGACGGTGCTAACCACGGAGCCACCTGCAGTCCCGACAAACTTCATGAAATTTGAAAATGCATCACATTTCAACAACGTGTTCTAAACTCTCACAGTCCTGATGCTCATGGTTCCTGCATAAACACGGTCTAACACCTCTGAGTGCTTCATCTATCAGACTCGTCCAATGAGGGGCTGGAACACAACAACTGAACTTTTGGCCATTTTGTAGGAAGTCAGAAACACAGCAGATCTGATCACGTCTTTGGGTTCTACAGGAAAAGCTAGCCCAGGATGAACTGTTTCAAAGCTCCATGTGTCAGACTGTACGAGTTATTAATGTCTGAAGATGGTCTTTCATTCTTTCAGAGGAACCTGAGAGGGTGACCTGGGAGCCTCTGGTTGGTTCATAGGGGAGGAGCCTATTTCCTACCTGTGGTACTTTTCCTTCCTGTCGTCTGTGTCGATGGTCAGAGACCTGCAGAGACAAAGTCGGATTAAAGACTCGTGCAACAACTAAACACACATCTGTAGTCATGGTCAACATCACCTCTCTCCTAGTGCTGTGTGGACAGCAGGGATCGACTGAGACGACACGCAGCGTTTCTCAGATTATCATCATGTTTTTAATAAACCGATTCCCACTGAAAAAACCTGAATTTAAAGACACTTGGCTCTGATGCCGCCTCCTCTCCGGCTGCATTCCAAACGACATACAAGCACATACAAGAGCTGCTTGATGACTAATAATCAGTATCGGCCCTGAAGGAACCCCCCATAGAAAGCTTTAATGTGATCATGATCCATTTCTGCTGCCAGATCCTCATCAGCCACTGACTCTGTTTCTCCTGCTGTCGTTAGACCTCAACGCTGTTTTATTCATCGAACCAGGCAAATGCTGTGATGTGGTTCTGGTGTTGCTGGACTGAGCTTTTTGACTACTTCATGACGAACGTAGCTCAGGGGTTTCCCACCGACTGAGCCCTTCAGCTCATGTTCACACCCTGAGCTTCATGTCTGCGGTGAAGCTCTGATGCTTCTTGTGACTGTTTAACTGCGACTAAAGGGATGTTTTTTCTGTTTATACCATCCTGACTGATCTACTGATCTCAGACCACACGGCCGTATTTACTGTCAGACTTTACACCAAAACACCGCCGTGCTTCGTCCTGGTGCAGCATCGACACATCCAGAGCTGTGAATTATGAATATTTTGTCCATTTGAAAAGCAATATTAGTACTTTTATTTATTTATTAGCATTGTTTCACTTTTTAAAGCAACATCATAATGTTGCTTTATTCATTTATTTTTTTATAAAAAATATAAAATATATTAAAAACTAAAATAAAAATAAATAAAATAAAAAATATGTCGCTTTAAAAGCAAAGGAAATATGTGCAGAAAAATGTGCGCAGTAGGAATGTGGTTGTGCATATTTCCTTTGCTTTCAAAGCAACACTATAAAAAATAAAAACAAATAAATAAATAGAAAGAAAATTTAAAAAATGAAAACATTTTTAATAATTTTCTTAAATAATAAATAAACTAATTTAAAAAATAAAAATACATAAAAAAATAATAAAAATAGTAAACAAAAAATAATAATAATAAAATCTTATTATTTTTATTATTTTATTTATATTCTATCTTTCATTAGCATTTTCTTTTGTGGATTCATATTGCCACATTATTTAATAACTTATTCTTCTTTTTATTTCTGCTCTTATTTCATTATTCTTTTGTTGATTTATTTTTGTAATTTGGTGCTCTCACTGCTCAGTAACTTACAGACAAATCTGTGCAACATGAATTCTTCATCAGTATTTCTACTCAGAAGAGAATCTGTGCAATATTGTTACTGACACATTCAGATGAATTTGCACAACTGAACTGATTTGTGTTTATTTTTCTACTGATATTTCCTGAATCTTCTTTGCTGCTGTAGCTCATCTGATCAAATAGGTCAGACATCCTTGTTTTAACTAAAAACACATCTCTGCTGTGTGTAAGCTCTGGACTATAATGTTTAAAGTCACATTTAGCCAAATGAAAACGTGCATTAAGTGGCTTTAATTGGTCCTTTAAGGATAATTCGACCAGTAGAAACAGGAAACATGTCAGTGACATGATGTCAACATGCATCAGACTTATCAGGATGCTGCAGGTAACGACAGTAAATCACTGTCCAGCACCAAATACAGACTAAATGAACTCCTCTACAGTTCGGTCGGTTCCTCCTGACTACCGGCCTGTCGCTCTCAGCTGATTTCTGCCTCCAACACCAGCAGCAGCATTTCGGCTCAGTTCGCAGCGCGTTAGCTCGGATGCTAACGGCTAGCCTCCCGCGACGCCGCCGGTAACGGCCGCTTCTACTCACTTCTCCAGCTTGCTGGAAACCTCCGTCACGTCCCCGTCACGGTGCGACTCGTCCATCGTGATAACTGCAACTCTAACCGGCACCGAAGATTCGCCGAATCCCGTTTTCAGTTCGCGGACTCACGGAGAAGTTGGTGTGTTTCTGTGTTTAAACCGGAGGCTCTTCCCCCCGCCAATTCCTCCCAGCGAATCAGAGGGCCGTCGCGTCACTGCGCTGTCCAATCAGAGAGCGGAATAGGCGGGACCGACAGCAGAAGACAGCCAATGAGCTTCTCGGAGAGTTAAACCAGGAAATCAGTTTGAATCATTTTGAACTGTTTTATATTTTCCCGGACATTTACGTTGAATTTGGGGAAATCCACATGAGAGGAGAAGTCCCACATTCAAACTTGGGAAAGTCCTGCAGGTTTTCCAGGTGCTGGGAAAAACAATCACCTGAAACAAAACAGGAACATCAGAAAACTGAGTGTGACGCTGAGTTACTGAAATAAATGAGGAATCTTAAAGTCATGTACATGCAGCTGAGAGTCAACGTGATGAGCCCAGCTGCTCCCATCTCTAGGAAATCATACGAGTGTTTCATAACTTTTATTGGTTTTTGTTTGTTTTTAAGTGAGCAACATTTGAATCGATGCTGCTGAGAAGGAACTGTTTGGTTTTAAGGCAGCAACAAATTCCTATTGAATCTTGTAACAGATTTAATTTTGGGATCAGCCAATAAAACACCAAATGCGTGTTTTGTTTTGTTTTGTTTTAACTCTATGTTTAAAAAGCTTATTGGAAGCATGAACTTTTTAAGCTGAGGAGTAAACAATCAGTAAAGACACCTAAATATGAGGCATGTAGAATACACACAGATACAAACAGTGGTTTAAGGATGTCCGTGTGGTTTCGCTGTAAACGGGGAACACGTCATGAATCCACTGAGCTGATCTGTTGTTCCATGTGGACGTGCTGGACAGAACACTGGACGCCTTGTTTTGTTCGCAGCAGAATCATGGTTTAATATAATTCAGTCTAAACCGGGGAGCAGATCAGAGTCAGCTCGTGCTTCACTGGGACACGTCTCAACGGGTCCCAGCAGAACCAGGAGTCAGCAGAAGCTTTTACTGGAAACACACAGATTATACAGAGAAACACATTCTGGCAGCTCTCGATGGCTCTGAATGTCTAGATTTTAGATTTTCCAACCTGCAGAGCTCCACCTGCAGCTTTCCTCTCTGATCCAGAAATCTGACCATCAGTGAATTATTACAGAACAGAAAGCAAACATACTGCATCATATAAAATTAAGTTTATAATTGAGCAAACAGTTTCAGTCGTATATATAAAGTATAAATGTTCCCACGCCGTCGAGGCTTTCACACGAGAATTCAGAATATCGGCGCCGACTCCAGAGCTTTGACTCGAGCAGCGAACACCAGGACGTTCTTCTCCACCTCGGCATTGATCTGCTTCTGTGACGCTCGGGGGTTCTGCTGGACGAACTGTGCGATGCTCAGGATGCATTCTCTCTGAGGAAACACAGGAACAGACTTATGCTCAGCAGAGAAACACAAGTAATGAGGTGAAAACACAGACGATGCAAAAAGTCTGCACAGAGAGAAGAAAGTCATCAGTGTTCAAATGCAGGAAGCAGATTATAAAAGAGGTCAAAATACTTAAAAACACTTTATTTCATTGTGTTATTCATTTCTGTGGAACTTAAGTTGAAATGTGTGATCAGCAAGTTACACAATCTGTGAATCTGGTCGTCTGAGGCTGATCAGATTTAACTCGACCGACTGACAGAGAATCTCAGATTTCTCATTTGCTTAAAAGTCCTTGTTGAAGAAATGTTATGAAATCGCTGTGGTGATTAACTCTGTTGGTTTTAACTCCATTCAAATGGTTTCACAACAGTTTTTAAAGTGTTGGAAATGTGTTTCTGTTGAACTTTGAGTCGGTCAGAAACTAGTTTTGCTGCTGAGAGTCGAGTCGGTGGCAGAGCTCAGCCACTCAGCAGCCTTTGCACGGGTTTATTTAGAAAACTACTCAAGTTTGAGCCAGAGATGAATCCAGTGAAGCTCCTGGCTGAGGAGACGTCACCACTGCTTCTTCCTGCTCTGCACCTTGTAGGCCTCCACTTTGTCCTGGCCGGTGAGTCGGTTCAGCAGCTCCCTGCCCACCTGGACGCCCGTCACCGCCGCCAACACCCGGCGGTCCTCGTCAGTCTGGGAGGACAACCAGCGCAGCAGCGCCACCTGCAGGAGCAGCAACACAGTTATCAGCTCATCTGACAGAAGGACCAGCAGCTGTTTCCACATTTGTTTATAAAAGCTGTTGATTAGAAGTGATCGGACAAACAAACAAAACCTTAAACCAGATTAGATCCTAGAACTCTCTCCTGTCTTTGATCAAACCATGAACGTGTCTTTTTGGTGTGATTATTCTGACCCCAGCTGACGGGCGGGTTCATGAACCTGACTTGAAAATTAGCCAAATAACACAACAAGCGTATCAGACACCACACGTATTCATGTTCACTGGTATTTTACACTTGTTGAACCTTCACAGTGTTGAAGCAGATAAAGCAGACGTGTGTTTATTCAGCCTTTCAGTGCATAAAAACCAAAGAAAACAGAATATTTAATGTCAGCTGGAGTTTATCAGGTCAGTCTGTCTCCTACGAGCAGAGCCCAGAAAGCTTTACTATGACAGCTACCAAACATTTAGTCTCTTTAGGATTCAAAGCACATGTTCAACCATGTTTATGTTTGTTTGTTTGTTGTTTTCTGTCTCTGTCAACAGAACCCTGAAGCTGCTGCTTGCTGATGTGACAACAGACTGAGCTTCTGTTTAAACAGATAAACGACTGAAGGAAGAATCTGTCTGACATCAGTTATTCACATCCTGAGACCAAATGATGGAAACAGGATCAGTTGTCATAGCAACAAGTCCTGAAGCCCAGCAGAGTCCAGTTTATGGATCAGCAGCGACAGAATTGATCGTTTTAATGAAGACAGACACGATGAAAGTCTTCTGCTGAGGAGGAACACGGAGGTTATTAAACAGCATTTACTCTGAACGACGTGTTTGATTCATCCGTGAGAAGCTGTGAGTTCCTCTGATGTGGCACCAGGACGGACACCAGGCTGATCAAACCGATCCGGGTTCTGGTCTCACCTGCTGGAATAACTGCGCGTTGCTCATCTCTCCTCCTGAAGCCGACATGGCGGAAACCAGGACGAAGAACGTCTAAAAGCCTGAAACCCTCAAAAACCTTCAGACGTCTGACTGAATCCGGTCCTCTAAAGTTCCTCTGTCGTCCTCAGCTGCAGCTAAACTCGGTAAATGTAGATATTTACAGAAAAATCTCCGCTTCAAAGTGCGTGAACGGTCTCTTCCTGTTTACGTCTCCTTCTTCTTCGTGGGTCTTGAAGCGGCTCAGCAGCGCCTCCAGCGGCAGCTGCAGACATTTGTTTAGGTTTGGATGACTGTTAATAGTTCATAACAGTTTGGGGATGTTTTGCTCAGAATGATCTGATATTTTACAGACATTTTCTTCATTTTTTAAGGGATTTAATTTCCTTTTGATGATTATTATTTGAAAAGGGCAGGAACAATCTCACCGACCCTTCCCACCCCCACCCTACACCGCTGTGACCTGCTGCCCTCCGGCCGGCGCTTCGGGTCTCTAAGCACCAGAACATGCCGGCACCGGAGCAGCTTCTTCCCTCAGGCCTCATGAAGAGTCAGTAAACCACTAAAGACTCCTGTTGCACTCCTCTGAGCATCACCATCACATGTGCTGTAATTTAAACTGTTTTCTCATTTATTACTTGGTTTATGTCTCTTTTCACAGTACTTTTTATTTACGTAGTACTTTTGTACTTTTCTTTTACATATTTTATTTAGAATTTCTCAGATCTAGATTCTATATTTATTCCTGTCTTCTTCTTGTTGTGCACCAGACTCATTCACTACACCTTATGTGTGCGAGCTCACTGGGCAATAAAAAGCTTCTGATTGGGATATTTTACTATTATTGCGATTATTATTCTGTGATTCTGATCCAGAACTCTCCACCTCAGCAGCTCCTAGCGACACCAAACCTTCCAGTTTTATGTCAGTCTGTGTTCTGCACGGTTTGTTCATACACGAGTCACAGCCTGATATTCAGAACACTTTATTCCTACAACATGAACATGAACACAGTCTCTGAGGTATGGTGTTGTTGTCGAGGGTCCGGCGGTCTCAGTTCTGGTCTTTGGGTTTGGAGAAGGAGCCCAGCTGCTTGGTGTTGGCGTCCCTCAGCTGCTCCAGCTGCCTCTGGCCTCGGCGGTACAGGTACTCGATGTGCATCACGTCCGTCTTCTTGATTCGAGCGTTTTCTCTGAACTCGTCACGGATTCGGGGAATGAAGCCCGGTTTGTCCTGACCGGCTCTGAGGAACTGCCGGTACAGAGCCAGAACCTGCTTCTGCAGCTTGCTGTGCCGCGACATCGAGTCGCCAGAACCAGCAGGACCCGAGCAGGAACCGGAGCTACGCCAACATGACGCTGGGATCAGACTGAGCTGAAGTGAAGAGAAATCCTCCGTCAGTGAGCGACAGCGAAGGTGTCCTGGTGGAGAACACGGAGGACAGTGAACGCACCACCACACGTGTTGTTCTGCTGAGGAGGCTCTGATTGGCTGATGTCTGACTGCAGGAGGAAGCAGAGTTCAGATGATTGACAGCAGAACATGAGAACCCTGTTGAACAGAAGCTGCTCTGATTCATCTGGTGTTGGGATAAATGACTGAGTTGTTCTGTGTGGTGCTGGTACTGATCCCAGTGGACCATGTATTGATCAGTGGTGGATCCGTGGAGCCTCCAGCTGATCAGTGATGTCACCTCCACATGCTCATCCTACTACTATCATCACACTGTGTACTTCCTGTTTATTTCTGTATTTTACTGACGGTACCTTCGTTTCTGTCTCGGACTTTTCCTGCTGTGACCCTGAAACGCCCCACAGCGGATCATCTCATCCTGCTGTGACTTATACATGTGGGCTGTTGTGCTGTGGAGCTTCATGGATGAACTTTTACTCCTCAGCAGTGCCTACATCTCCTCTCCTGGATCGTTATATTTTAGTCATTATCCAGCTGAACCGAGCATCCACATCTCACACACAGACTGTCTGTTCAACCTGACGGTGGTTCAGTGTTAACATGTGAAAGCTGCTGAGCTGTGTTCACATCCTCCCACCTCCTCTGCTGATGCAGGAGGAGCAGTGAGACCACATGTTGTGCTTCTAGCAGCTGGACTAAACTAAACGCCACTAAACATGCAGGTTTCATTCAGCTGCCGTCAGTATTAGAGTAAAACCCACATCAGACAGCAGATGTGGACTAAAGCAGAAACACTGAGTATGAAGCAGGCTAACTTACCCTTTAAACGAGAGTTCCGGGTTCAGAGCGCCTCCACGAGTCAAACTGTTCCTCTAGCTGACAGAAATGATTCACATTGACATAAATCTACGCGCTATTAGCTGTGTTAGCTCCTGTAAACAGCCTCTGTGTGACCTTACTGCATGTTACAACACCGGAGTGCAGTGGAGCGGGCGAAAACTACAAAAAAAAACTACAAAACACGTGACTTCCGGTGTCAAATCCTGGGATTGAATATTATATTTTAGAATATTACCTCAAAGGTAAATATTGTTAAAGACTGTATAAGCTAAAATAACAAAACAATATAAAGTGCTATTGCTAAAAGTGATCCATCGTAAAGGTGTGTCTCACGCAGGAACCGGAAGTGATGTCACTTCCTGCTCGGTATCAAATACCAAAACAAAGCGGCAGCAGAGAGAAGCTAACGGCAGAGATCTGATGGAAACCGGCTCACGGAGCAGCTGAATGCTATCAGGTTCGTCATTTGATTCCCCGGAATTGTCCAAAACGTTTCAGGAACATCGGAGCCGCTCAGTAAATGTGAATAAAACGGAGAATAAAAATAAACATTTAGCGGATTAGCTGTTAGCATTAGCCTCAGTTAGCTGCTGTCAAAGCTCAGAGATTTATCCCTGTGACGGAACAGAAGCACAGAGGATCATTCTGTTCAGACTTTAGCCAGAAGTCACTCAGACATTTTCATGGAAATACAAACATTGCACACTCAGTTTGTTGTTGTTGTTGTTGTTTTTACACACATAAGAATCTGTTCAGCATCAGTTTTCTTTCTACATTTAGAACAACCTCGTTTCATCTCATCATTGTCCACATCCAGAGGAACGTGTGCGATGTTTAGATTTTCTCAATATCAAAGAATCTGGAACAATATCAAGGATTCAATGAGCTTTATGTGTGATGTAGGCTCACATTCACATGTTAGTGGTTTGAAATTAGTACTCAGGTCCTGTTTTTTGTTGTTGTTTTTTTAAGTAAAAGCCTAATAAATAATGAGTATAATAAAACAAGAGCAAAATATAAGTGAATGTAAAAATACAGCAATAAGTGTAGTAAAAAATATAAACACAAAGCCACAATTAGATGTTTAGCGCTACATATTTGTGTAGCAGCGCGGTAGATTGTGATATTGCACTTGGTGGTTAAAATATTGCACATACATGGATAAAGTGCAGTTGGTGCGTGTGTGATGGTGTGAGGCTACAGAGCAGTTCAGCAGTCTGACAGCTTCAGGGCAGAAGATGTTTCTGAGCCTGCTGGTTCTGCTCTGGATGCTCCTGAGCCGCCTGTCTGAGGGGAGGGGCGGGATGGCTGGAGTCCTCCATGATGCCAGAGCCCTTCCTCTGCACCGTGACGAGTAGAAGTCTGAGGAGGTGGGAAAGCTGCTCCCTACAGTCCTCTGTGCAGCCTTTCCCACCCTCTGCAGAGCTTTCTTCTCAGCTGCTGTGCCACACAGTGATGCAGCTGCTCCACCTCACAATGGTAGAAGCTCCTCAGAACAGAGCTCCCTAGTCCAGCTCTCCGCAGCTTCTTGAGGAAGTAGAGGCGCTGGTGTGCCTTCCTGACCAGACGGGAAGTGTTGGCGCTCCAGGTGAGGTCACTGGATATGTGCACACCCAGGTGCCTGAAGCTGGAGACCACTTCCACAGCTGCTCCTCTGATGTGCGGGGGAGGGGGAGGGCGCTCCCTCCTGAAGTCCACCACCATCTCCTTGGTCTTCTTCACATTGATGCAGAGGTTGTCTCTGCACCACTGCACCAGGTGTTCCACCTCCTCTCTCTATTTGGACTCATCGTCCCACTGCTGCTGTGTCGTCCGCCACATTACTTGTGTGTTTTTTGTTTGTTTATATTTTATTTTGAAGGAAAATAGGTCAAAGCAACTGCTGCTGGTTTTGCAAAGTTTTGAGGAAAGTGGGAGGAATGAGGGAAGGATCAGAGGAAAACACTCGCAGAGAAACTCTTTCACATGTGACCAGACAAATGATGTCAAACGTTCCACTTGTGGAAAGAGTTCAGGAGCCTTTTTATGATCCTCGTGAAAGATGTGGATTCAGCAGAGACTCGTACAGAAGGAACAGAGTTTGTTTTTGACTCTGCAGACTTGGTTTCCTACGAGTTAGTTAATCTGAGACGAGTTCTTCACATCAACACTGAGATTTGGACTCACTGGATTAAACAGTAGTGGACACTGTGTGGAAGAAGGAACAGTAGAACATGTTCTGTTCTGTTCAGAAACATGAGCAGCTGATGTCTGCTAAGAGAACAACCTCATGTGTAAGAGACCGTCTACAAAACCACCCAAGAGTTTTAGTTTAGTTTTTGTTTCAGACTCTCTGACAAACTAATCTGAAGGTTCCTTGTTTGTTTTTCGCATGAATTTTTGAAATACAGATATTGTGACTGACTCTCCAACCAGCTGGGGGCGCTAACAGCCAATAAACCTCAACCAAGAAGAAGGAGGAGGAGGAGTTTGGTATTTTAGCAGAGACATTTTTAACTGACAGATCTCTCCATGAAACTTCCCCAGCTGATTATTTATAACCATAATTTTTTTTACTGTATCACAAGATAATTTTCTGAAATTATTTGTATGAAAATACAAATTATATCGTTAAAAACTTTGTATCTAATTCCTACTAAATTAAATCAGTCAATTAATAATGAACCAAAGTGCCCAGAAACTGAAGAAACACTGTTGAACTGAAAATTCAGGTGTTTTATGTGGAGGCCAGAGTTACATGTGAGACGAGGATTTTTATTCGCGCCTCAGTTGTTTCTCCGGATTCTCTGTCCAAAACAACAGAACGACAAAGAAACGCGTGTGAAGAGCTTCTGAAAGGCCGCGGACAAAGCAGCCGGATCAGACGAACGACGTCAAACCTTCAAATGTTCACGAGTTCCAAAAACATTCTAAAAACACATCCTGACTTTCTACAAAATGTCCTCTTTTCTTTCTTATTTTCTTTGTTTTTTAAATGTCTTTGAAGGAACGTCCCCACTGTCGAGAAACATTCGGACTTTCTAAAACAACATTTCTAAAAATGTTTTAACTTTTTAAAATCGTCTTCACTTTTCACAAAATGTCTTCACACAAGTTGATTCTAACTGACAAACTGTAAATTCAATATCCTGTTTGTTGTTCTGTCTTTCTTTTTTTTTTTAATTTCTTATTATTAAAGAAGGAGTTTAAAGGCCTCGTGGATAAGAACAGCTTTGGTTGGTGAATGCCAGCTGTTCCTGCTCCTTTCTTCTTCTCTGTGCCTCTGTTTGCATTCCTGCTGTTTTAACCTCTGTGCCGACTCAGCCGCTGTGTGTTCTGTTGCTGTGAAAGAACAGGAGGAGCTGGTTCTGCAGACATGGAGGCGTCGGCGGAGGAGCGGCGGCAGGTGGAGGATCAGGTGGAGCGTCTGCTGAGCGGTCAGGGCTCAGAGGTCACCGGCTGCGACGTCGGTCTGGAGCAAAGCAAACCGGTAACTCTGAGGAAGAACGGGACCTACATCGTCTGCGCCGTCATCTTCAACGACAAGGTGCAGATCAACCGGCTGCTTTGTCCAGCAGAAAGTTCTTCACGGCTGTGTCCATCACCAGTGCTTTTATCTTACCTCCTTCTAACTCCTCCTTTAGGATGAGGTGCTGATGGTGCAGGAGGCCAAGCAGGACTGTTATAAGCAGTGGTACCTGCCTGCAGGAAGGGTGGAGGTGGGCGAGAGTCTGGAGGAGGCGCTCAGGAGGGAGGTGAGGACCGAACCTGAACCTGAACTGTCCCAAAGTCTCACAGCAAACTTCAGGTGACCTGAGCTGCGGCTCTGTTTGTCTACAGGTGCAGGAGGAGGCGGGGTTTGAGTGTGAGCCAATCAGCTTGCTGCTGATCCAGGAACAGGGACCTCAGTGGATCCGCTTCATCTTCCTGGCCAAGATCACAGGTCAGAGGTCACCTCCACCTGGTTCAGTCTAGGGCAGGTGTCTCAGGTGAAGTAACGTTTTCTCTGTCAGGTGGGAGTCTGAAGGGTTTGGCGGCAGCAGATCAGGAGTCTCTCCAGGCGTCCTGGTGGGACCGGCGCTCCGTCCTCCACCTGCGAGGACGAGACATCCTCCGACTCATCGACAGCGGACTCAAGTACGACATCCTGTGTTTGAGCTGAAGGCTCGTCCTCCACCTGCTTTTAATGACAGCAATAACTTTTACTTGTAGGAAACCCACATGTGAACTTTCAAAATAAAGGTTTATTGTCATTATTCTCCGTCGTCTTCAACGGTCGAAACCCCCAGAAGTTGCGTCCACTGTCACATAGAAAGACAAAGCAAGCACGTGTTCACATGAGGAGAGCTGATGTTTTCTGCTTGATTGTCTCCTGCTGAGCGTGAAGCTCCACACTAACGGACCCTGTGCCGTCTTCAGGTACCGTCAGGATCCCTGGCATCCCTCCACGCTGCCACAAGACCTGAGCTGCCGGCACGTCGTGCAGAGACTCGTCCTGGTGTTCGTTGGAGCTGAGGACCAGATCTGGGTCCTGCTGATCAGAGGTAACGCTGACCTCAGTGTGAAACGGTTGCAGCTCCTCTGACCTTCTGCTGAGCGTCACATCTTCATTTAACCTTCTGAACTCCAAGCAGCTTCTGTCATTAGGACACAGTTAGAACAATGGGAACCAAACCACACGTCACAGTTTGCTGAGTGACGAGGACAGAGAATGTGAAATGCTCGTCGCTAACCCAGGAATGACCGACTAGGAGCACTAGTCCAGGACTGTTAGTAGCTAGTTTAGGGGTTGTAGTCACTGGGCTAAGGATGCCAGTTGCAAGTCTTGGGACGCTAGTTACTGTTTATGGAGCGCTAGCTGCTAGCCCAGGAGCTCAAGGACTGTTGGAAAGTTAAAAGTCTGATTATTCTTTCAATTTTTACCATTTCTGGCTGATAAATGTCATTTAGATTTTTTTTCAAATTTGGAGTTCAGAGGACTAACTTGAGTGGTGTCAGGGTGGATGTAGCTGAGAACCATGAACCTCCTCCTCTGTCCTGCAGCCCCGGTGCTCCACCTCCCCACGGCGGCGGCGCTGAAGACCCACGCTGTGACCTGGGCAGCCAACATGGTGGTGCAGGAAGCCATGCCATCGGCGTACTACGACCACGACGTCAACACGCTGGGCGTCTTCAGCCTGCAGCACAACGGCCGGCAGCACGGCCGGACAGACGGCGTCTGCTTCAATACGCTGGTGGCGCTGGTTCCCAACCACGTCCAGCGCGACGAGGACGGGCAGAAGGTGGAGCCTCCAGCAGCAGGTCGGCCTCCGCCCGTGGAGAACCAGCGGTACACGTGGTTCGAAGTCCGAAAACAGACGCTGAGAGAGAAACTGCTGGAAAAAACCAAAAACACGTCGGTGCTGCCGATCCACAGCCTGTACTGACCACAGCCAGGACTCTTACTGTGAAAGGAACCATTTTATTCTGAAAGATTATTTATGTAAATGCAGCAATAAAGTAGAAACAGACTGTCAGGGAATAGCTTCCGGCTAGGTCGTAAAGGTCATGAACTCCAGTCTGTTCAGCCAACTGAGCGTTTGTTTGAACTTTGCAGACTTTGAGGTCCGTCCTCCAGCTCGTGGCCCAGATCAGACGGACCTGAATTATTTGACCTTGTTCTGTTGTAAAGTTGCGTTTTAATAACCTGCTTCACTGTCTGATTCACTTTAATGTTGTTTTATTCCACCACAGAAGAGCTGCAGCCAACAAAGTTCTGCTGTTTTATCCACGACACCGCCCGGTAACTGTTAGATGTAGCACAGAAATGTGTCGCTTCAATTTAAACAGCTTTTAAATGTGCAGTAACTAAAGTGCAGTCCTGTGCATTGCTGATGTGTTCTGACATGATATTATTGTACTGACGATGAACACGGTGGCATGTGAAGGTTTGGTTGAACTTTTGTGAGCAGCTCAGTGAGTAAAAAATCTCCAAAATCAAATTATTATTTTCAGCATTTTGGGCAACATTCAGTGTTTTATTTGTTTTGTATAATTGTAGAGTGTAACGGTTTGGACACCCCAAGAGACTCCAGCTCTGGTAATGTCACCAGATCTCAGACCTTAATTAGCTTGTTAGCGGTGGTTTGTTGTCAGTTCTCAGAAACTTCATCAACAAACTGCTCTGAGCAGCTGACAGAACTCAGAACAGTGAAGTTCCACAACAGGAACAGCTCTAAGAAGACTGTGAATAGCCTCAGAAGACTAGCTACCAATCTTTGTAGGCTAGCAACTAGCATTCCGAGGCCCATGGCTAGCCTCACTAGCCTGGGAAACCCAGTTGCTAGTTTATTAGTGCTTTCACTAGCCGAGGAAGGCTAGCCACTAACCTGAAGGTGATAATTGTTCATCTAGGAACGCCAGTCGCCAGCACAGGATCACTAGTGGCTAAGAAATAAATGACAGTTTGTTAGCAGGTTTGTATCTGAGCTGTTAAACTTTGAACTTCACAATGGTGTGACTAAAACAACAGTTCCAACAGTTTCCACTAAATGACGTGACGAGGCGTCTGTTTGCCAACACTTGTCTTTATTTCGGTTTAACAGCAGGATGAAGGAAATTGTTCTTGAAATGCGCCTTCGTTGGGGTGCAGTTCAGGTCTGGTTAGCAGACTTCTCCGTCTTCACCTTCCTCATGTAGTTGTCGTTGAGGTTCTTGAGGTGTTTGGTTCGACTCTCCAGACGGACCAGCCATTCCCCCCGCAGCCTGAAAGACACAGGACGGTTTATCACCTGGTGAGCAGGAACAGACATGAATGAAGGTAAAACCAGGACTGGACTCGTCAGGGTTCTGTCTCAGACGTTCATGTTCATTCTGAAACTGCAAATTCCAGAGAATTTGGGTCTAAAATTTGTCAGAGGAAAATCTACAATAAACACGACGCTAACTCTTTCACAGATCAAATGTACTTATGGTGTTGTAGTTTATACACACTGAGAACAGAAACAGTCAAATATAACGGTATGGACCTGAGTGACCACAGCCATCTCCCAGAACAAGACCCAGTGACCATCACTATAGCAGATATCCAAGAAAGAGGGTCAAGGATGAACAGCTGGACAGCATCAGGCCCCAACATGATCAACACCTACTGGCTAAAGAGGCTAACGGACGCCTAGCAACACAGATGAGCCAGCTGCTAATGGACAGGACCCATCCAGAGCGGACAGATCTGATAATGAAGGATCCTCAGAAGGTCAATAACCTGCACAACACAGAAGCTACTGTCAGGCATCATGGCGGCTAAAATGAGTGAGTACATGAGCAGGGCCCAAGAGTTGCTACCAGCAGAGGAGCCAAGCACCAGCTACTGAACGACAGAGCAGACATTCAAGACTGTAGACCAGAAAAACCAACCTGTGCTCTGCCTGGATTGACTACAAAAACCTACAACTCACACACATGGACACTGGAGTGGCCTCAGATACTGATTCCAACGTAGAACTACCATCAGCCACCTCCTCTACATGGATGACATCCAACTATACGCCAGACAGCAAGACACTGACTCACTGATCTCCATCACTGGGACCTACAGGAGCGACATCGGAACGTCATTTAAACTGGACAAGTGTGGTCGGATGATATCCAAGAGACGCAAGATGATCAGCACTGAATGGGTTGAACTACCAGAAGGCAACATAGAAGATGTTCAGCTACGAAGACCTTGGAGTCCCACCGACAAATGGAAACCATGAGGCGACTGCTAGGAAGCCAGATACCTCCACGGAGCGAGGCAGGTCCTGAAGAGTCGGCCGAATGGACAGATGTGACGGCCCTGCCCAGTACACTGTTGGGCCACCCAGGGTGTCTACATGTTTTGGTCTGTTTCCTCAGGTCCCTGATCTGCTGGAGACTGAGTGGGCGGTCCTGCCCCTCAGATCTTTCTCTCTCCACACTGTCATTTGGTTTGTGTTGCTACACCAGACAACATCTCACCACATCACATCCAGGCATCTACGCCACTGATACCACTGACATGAAGACAAGGAAGCTCCTCACATGAAGAGTTTCACCACAAGTCCAGCATCCTGAGACTGCACACAAAGCAGAAGGAGGCTGAGGACTGGTGAGCACCAGAGGTACTATCCAGGATGAAACAACTAAGATCCAGGAATACATCAGGGAGGTTTCCACCTGTGATGATCTGCTACATGAATACTTAAGGCAGCAGAAACCCAATGATGATGAGGAGGAGGAAGAAGATAAATGTCCATCATGGGAGGAGAAGTCCCTGCATGGCCTGTTCCACCGACAGAAGGAGTGGCTTTATTGAGAAAACCCACCATTGGCTGGGAAACGCTAGTCTGACAAACAGCCTGGAGGCCCTAAGAGGCCAGGGTCTACCACACCAGACGGGACTCCAGGTGTGGGCTGTGAAAAGGTGCACCTGGGACAGTACAGCACATCACAGCAGCTCCAAGATGCAGGCAGCACAGCATATATGGAGCTGTAACCAAGAAGCTGGCTTGGTCTACAGCAAGGATCTCCAACTCCGGTCCTCGTGAGCTGCTGTCCTGCAGGTTTTAGACGTTTCCGTACTGCAACACACCTGACTCAAACGAATGGATCATTAACAGACTTGTGTAGAACTTGACAACAAGCTGTTAATGATCCATTAATTTAAGTCAAGTGTGTTGCATTACGGAAACGTCTAAAACCTGCAGGACAGCAGCTCACAAGGACCGGAGCTGGAGATCCCTGGTCTACAGAAACATCTGCGAGGCTAGAAGTCTGAGGATCAAAATGGAAGATATCTCCACAGATGGTAGAGAATGATCAGGCTAAAATCTGCTGGGACTCCAAATCCAGACCGATAAGCTGGTTGGTACCAACTAACCAGACATCACGGTGGTCGATAAACAGAAGAAGGCAGCAGTGACAGATGTAGAAATCCAGGTGACAACAGCTCAAAAACAGCTCAGAAATACCAAGAGCTGAGAGAGGAGCTGGAAGAGATGTGGAAGGCAAAGGCAACAGTGGCACCAGTGGGGATCAGAGCTTCAGTAGATCACAACGTCTGAGATCTCCATCCAGATACCTTCAGGAACCTTGAGGCTCCCAGACCCTGGCAAAGAACCAAGCTCGAAGAACACATTTACAACAATTACGGTTGAAGACGTGACCTTTCTACAGCGTGATCACATTCAGTCTGGTCTGTCAGAGGTTTGTTTCAGGGGACGGGATGTCCTCACAGAGATAGAAGCCGGACAGCAAAGTGAAGACAAAGAAAGTTCAGACTGTACGTGAGACAATGTGTGTTTGCGTAACCGAAGCCGGCGCTCAGCTGTTCCCGTCGACTCTTTGTCACCTTCCTGCCGAGTTTTCCGGATTATTCCATTTGTTCTCTCAGCTGCTGATAATCCTCCTGACCTCCGGCAGACAGATGGGCAGACGAACAGTAGAGAGGCAGACGGACGCTTTGACACTCGGCTGGTTTTCTTCCTCGGCGACGTCTGAGCAGCTCTTCTGCTTTTCACTGCAACGTCCAGCGAAGACGGATCGCCGTAGAAAACACGGACTGACGGAGTCTCTGAGTTTATAATCAGTTCTATGATTTAAAATGTTTATTATTAATGTCATCATTTTCCAGAATGTTGCTGCTATCTGACAGAAAGAAACGTCTACAAGAAGGACTGAAAAATAGAAAATAAACTTATTCTAGATTCGATAAAATCCTTGAAAAAAAAACATGTTGACCTTAAAAAGAAAGACAATAGACCACAACTGTAGATAATGTCCACATCTAAAATATAGATTTGTATTGTATTTAAATTAATCTTATTTTACAACTGCAGCGTCGATCAGAAGCATTCACCCTCCTTGTAAGTCTTTTTATTTATTTATTATATTGGACGATTATTTTAAAGAGTCTTTATGTCAAAATAAAAACAGATTTTTTACAAATCAGTGTCAATAAAAAATGTAAAATATAAAACAAGTGGTTGCAGAAGTACTCAAGCCTTTAAAGCGACACACAGTTAGACCTGAATGTGCCTGTTCGTTTATCGTTTGTTTTTCCAGTCGACACAGTGAACGAAGCACAACAGCTGAGCGTTTGACTGTTTGATGACTGTTGCAGCTCAAACATTGAGTCTGTTCTCAGAGTAAAGACGCATTTTGAAGCTTTGCATCATGATCCGGTTTTAGACGTTATAGGTTTACTCTCAGCCTCCTCCTCGCTGACTGAAGCAGCCGGACGCTGAATATTTATATCAGAATATCTTCTAAATTCGTCCTGTGTGTAAGCGTCCGACCTGCCAGCCTCCATCACTCATCGCTGCCAGATTATCACCTCGACTCGCTGCAACACATTTTTCCAGCCGCTGCTCGGGTCGCACATAACAGGCACAATTATCGGGGGCTACAGTCGCGGTTAGAGGCCGGGGGGGGCGGCGGCGGCCGAGTCGGAGGGTCCGTGGTAACAGATATCCAGAGGATTAGACGATACACAGCACTGATAGGAGGAGGATTAGGCCTACAGGGTAATGGATAGCAGAGGGATTAGCTGAAGAGGTGGCGCGAGGTTAAAGAGAGAGGGCCGGGGTTAGGAGGGATCGGGCTAATGGCTGGTAAGAGGTGAAGGTTTAATAAGAGGATACGAAGTGGAGGAAAACGCCTCAACAGCACTTTGTTCACATCATGA